TGGAAAATGGATAAAGAAGATGTGGTTTTTTTATAAAATGGAGTACTACTCAGCCATAAAGAATGACAAACTAGAGACATTTATAGCTAAATGGATCCATATTGAGGCCATACTCTTAAGTGAAATAAACAGGACACACATGTGTAAATAACGAATAGTTTCTCTAGTGTGAGAAACTGAAAGTGTAAATAAGGATTAAAATGATTAAAACAAATAATTGATAATTTGAAACAGGAAGAAAAGATCCAAAGGGGTAGGGATGGTGGGAGGAGAAGGAGAAAGGAAGAAGGGAAAGGAAAAATTATGAGAAAAGAAAAAATATGGAAACGAAATCTATGTAAATAGGGAAGGGTGGAGGGGGTGAAGGGCACACAGGTAATGGGGAAACAATAAGAACCAAGATACATCATGAACAGGTACGAGCACCCAATGATAAACGTAAACGAATTGTATACCTAAAATGTACCAATAAAAGAATTTAAGGGAAAAAAAAAAGATGGCTTCTCTTCCATCTTAACAGGCCCAGAGGCTCAGCCATGACCCTCATGCCCCCGAAGCCTGCAAAGGAGGGACACACTGGGCCCTCACAAGAACCTTCTAGCTGCTCCTCTTTGCCCTGATGGACCACTGGGTGATGAGGCAGCAGAGGCCCACAGCAGGCCACACCATGCGTGTCTGTCACAGGCTCCCTGCAGGAATGCTGGCCTCTGACCCCATCCACTCACAGCTTCTCCTCCCACAGAGTCAGGGAAAAGCAGCAACAGCCTTTGAGACCATGACGATTCATAGTCCAGCTCTGGAACACATTACCTCCACAGTGCTGGGATCTAAGTCTGTTTTGTGTCCTGTACAATGGGTGTGCTGAAAACTCAAGAGTTGTTAGGGCAACAAGAGCTTCCAAGTGCCCAGAAGCTGGGTGCACAGCAGGGAGGGAGACAGAGGAAACCCCCCACACCTGGGGCTTTAAATTTGAGTGGGGCAGGCAGACTATAAACTGGCAAACAGTGAACAAAATAATTTCATAGTGTGATAAATACTACGATTAAAATATAACAGGAATGGACTCCTGGTGTGTGATCCCACACCCCTCAGAATGGTGTCTGGCACATAGTAGGTCCTCAGTAAATAGCTGTTTAATCACTGAATGTGCTGGGTGGCCAGGGAGGACTTGCAGGCTTGGAAAGGCAGAAACAAATTGAAAGAAAGTGGGCTGGGGTAGAGTTCCAGGCACAGAGCCAAGGGGTGCCAGAGCCCAGATGAAACTGAATCAATCAGGGTTAATGAACTAGAAAGAAAAGTCAGAGATGGTAGACCTCTTGATACTCTGTAAACTCCACGGTGCAGGATACACTTGTGAGCAGACTGCTTCTGGGGCTAGTTCTTTCACTTTTTTTTTAAGACAGGGTCTGGCTGTGTGGTCCAAGCTGGCCTTGAACTTACTCTGTAGCCCAGACTGACTTAGAACTCCAAGCGATCTTCCTGCCTCAGCCTTCAGAGTGTTGGGATTACAGGCGTTCACCATCATGTCGGATTCTCTTTCACTTTATAGGATGCACTTTTGAAATTTTCATCCAAGTGGCTTCGGGGTCCTCCCCTCTCGGTCCAACAGCGCCCCAGCCCAGCAGTTTCTGCAGAGTCCAACCCTGAAGGCTTTCCCGGGCACCCCGCTGTCTCGCTTCCTGGCAGGCGAGGGTGCCCACAGGAGACTTCGCCCGCGGATTGGACCGTCACTTCCTGAGGCCAGCACCCCTGTGGGTGGCGCGGGGCAACGGGCCCGGAAGGCCGGGGCGCACTGGGCGGGTTCGCTGCTGGTAGCGGCACTGGCCAGGCCGGGACTGGAGGGGTGGCAGGGCTGGGCGAGGGCGGGCCGGGGAGGAGCCGGCGGGAGGAGCCCCACCGCCTCCGCCGCTATCAGGTCGCCGCAGCTTCCAGGTAAGCTCCCGCGAGCCCGCCGCCCGCCCCACGCCCGGCCCTTTGCCCAGCGCCCTCGTGGGCACCGATCCACGCGCCGCGGCTGTGCTCGGGGCGGTCACTGCCCGGCGCCTCGCTGCCTGCTGGGGGTCGCTTTTGCTTTCAGAGCCGGAAGTACCCTAAGAAATCATGCAGGGCGCCACATGGGGAAACTGAGACCGGGAGGAGCAGTCCGGCGTCTCCTGCCTTCCTGCCCCGGGCCTACCCGGCTCTTTGATGAATGAACTTGCTGGCCTGGGTCCCGGGAGAAGGGCTTTCCCAAGGTCGCACAGGGGCACTGGACTTCCCCCAGCCTCTCGCGCCCCCTCTCGGGGCGCACTGGTGAGCGCGACCTCCAGGGACCACCTCTCCTCTGCCGTCCCTGCCCCTGCAGCCCTGGCACGCAGCTGGCTCTAAACTAGTCCTAGAGGATTTGGGGAGCTTGAGAAAATCCCATCCCGCCACCCCCACCCCCGTTACAGGGGGCGTGGCTTCTCTCTCTAGGGGTCGTTACAGGAGGGAGGGAGATTGGTGCTGCTGACTTTGGAACGGATTTTACAGCTGGGTAGCTGAGGCAGGGGACAATTAAGTGAATTCCCCAGGGCTACAAGGGTAGGATAGAGAAGAGGATAAGAACAGAGGTCACAGTAGAGCCTGATCCAACGTGAGGCACAGAGTCGACCTTTACAGTGTCCTTTCTTTTACCTTTCCCTGGGGTCACACAGCAAGTTAGCAGAGCTAAGCTAGAATCCGGTCTTGGTCCAGACTCCAGGCTACTGCCCACCTCAAAGTAGGAGGGAATGCTTTGGTTCTCTTTTTCCTAATTAGTGGTCATTGCACTGCAGAAATTATGAAACCCCTTTAAGCTTCAAGAGCATCCATTTATTCATTCCCCAAATATTTATTGAGCACCTACTGTATGCTCTGTGTGTGTGTGTGTGTGTGTGTGTGTGTGTGTGTGTGTGTTACTTAGGCACTGAGGATACAGCAGTGAACAGTACTGTCCTCAGGTGTAGACTCCAGAGAGTGGATGCAAGTGGATGAAACACTCTGGGAGACCCTTGGAATCATCCCAGCCACAGGCGATATGAAGAGGGTGGGAGATCAGACCTCCTTCCCACAGTGATGTTAGAACATCACTGAGGCCTCTGAGCGTTTTCCTTCATGGACCTCTGCTTCTGCCAGCCTGAGCTTTCCCACTTCCCAAAGACTGTGGGGGAAAGAGTGGGCCAGAAGGAGCCATAAACTAACCTCACTGCCTGGAGACCCGGCTGGAAAGTATGGCCACTTCCTGGCTGTGTGACCTCGGTATCTTCCTTTATCTCTCTGAAGCTCATTTCTTTATCATGCCACAGGGTTCATAATACCTCATAGCACCGATGAGACTGTCAGTGCAGAGTATGGTCTGTATCAGAGGCCTTGCCGCACCAGGTGTAAGCGAAGGTATATTTCTTTTATTTTCTTTTACCACCACCCCCCTTTGGTGCCAGAGATGCTAACTAAATATGCACTCTACCACTGAGCTATGCCTCCAGCCCAAGCAAGGGTGTATTTCTTTAGAGGCTCTAGGTACTTGATAACCTGTTTCTGCTCCCAGTGAAGAAACGTTAGAGGCAGAGAGGGGGTGGCTGAGCTCCAAGAAAGGAGGCTGAGGCTTCTTTCTGTCCCTAGACATACAACACGCCCCTCACGGTCAGCATTTCAGCTGTTACCGCTCAGCCTCATGCAGTACCAGACAGCTGGGCTCAGGCTCTAGCTCAGTGACTTTCTAAATGACTGGTCTTCTGACTGCTGGATTGCCTCAGTCTCCTCATTTGTAAAATTCCTGTCCCTAAGGTTTTCATTTGTAAAATAAAATACCTGTCTGCAAGGTTGTCGTGAGAATCAAAGCCACTGAAGCCACCAAGGGTACCTGGCAGTGTCTGGCACTCTGGGGGCATTTTTTTTTTTTGGTACCAGGGATCAAACTCAGGACCTTGTGCTTTCAAGGCAAGCAGTGGAACCACTGAGCCAAATCCCCGGCCCATTTTGACCCTAAGCCTAGGGTCCCAGAGTGCTGGGGTGGGCACAGTGGGCTGATTAGGTTGTCGTAGCTCAGCCTGTGGTTTGCATGAAAGTTGGGGCCTGGAAAATTTCTTGTAAACCTGAAACCATCTCTCCCTACATGGGTCCCGTGAGGTAGCAAGGGCTGGGCCAGCCACCAGGACCAACAGATATGGGCCCGAGGAAGGTCCTTGGGTTTATTATTGAGGCCTCTCATAGGCCCTGAGTGTTTTGTAAATACTGCTACAGATTATAAACTGGGCTGCAGATGAAGAGTGGGGTGGGGGGAGGGACCTTGCTTCCTTGAATGCATTACAGGGAAGAAAGGGACTAGAAAGGGGAATCCAATCCACTTTTCACTTAGCTGCTCCCACTTGGCGGCTGTCTCTCCAGTTTTACCACTCTCTGCCTCAAACTCTGTGTGGCTCCCCACTTTCTTAGGGTGAAGAACAAAAATCTTTAATGTGGACCACAACGCCCTGCACCTACACTTGGCCTAGGCCTCCGACCCATTTCAGAACACTGTATCAATAGTCTTCTGTGCCCAGGTATGTCACTGCACTTCCTTGGGGCCTTCACACGGGTCCCCACCACCACCACTGCTCCTCTTTCCTTTGCATGTGCTAGACACCTCCTGATTCCTCAGATGTCAGCCCAACCCAGATTTGTATTCCTTCCACTGCTGGCCACAAATCCATGGGTCTCTAGGTTGGAGGTTAAGCCCAGGGTGGAATTATGCACTCGTGGCTGCGATTTGTTTGTTTGCTTGCTTTTGGTCCTGGGGATCTGATCCCAGGGCCTCCCTAGGCTGGGCAAGTGCTCTACCACTGAGCTACACCCCCGCCTCCTCGCTGGGATTAATGTCCTCCTGGACCCTGAATGCCAGCTCACGACTTCTGGGACTGGGTATGAGTTTGTGCTGCAGATGCTTGGTAATGAAATCTACCTGTGGTAAATACCTCTTGAGCAAATTGGGACCTCATTTATACAATATATTGTCCTTCAGAAATATATACTGAAGTCATTTCTGAGTTGTGGATGCAGGTATTCATTCATTCATCACACAGGGATTGAGCACCTTCTCTGCCAGGTACTCTCCTGGGTACCTCAGGGAGCAGGACACAAAAGCTGCAGTCAGGGAGACAATCATTACAGGCAGAGCTGGCACCAATTTGATAAAGTCAATAAATTCACAGTGTGGAATGGGGGGTGGCTGTTTTAGACCTGACTGAATAGCCAGAGCTCCAATGGAGAAGCATTGTGCCACCCTCAGCCTGACCCTCTGGCTGGGGAGACAGGCGAGTAAGCCACTGGCCATTCTACCAGGAAATGAGGTGGCCCAGACGGCACTCATGGGGTTTCAGAGCCTCAGGTCCCATGTTAGCTTGACAAACCCAGGAAAGCATGTACCACTTCCTAACCTTGTTAGTGAAATGGAGAGGAACTTAGGGTTCGAAGTCACACTGGCCTGGGGGAGCATAGTGGAACTACCACTTGCCAGCCATATGACTTCCACTTCTATGGGCCTCAGTTTTCTCATCAATAAAATGGGGACAATAATCGCCTCTTCCTCCTAAAGCTGCTGTGGGGCTGAAAGGGGATGAAGAGTACAATCTTAGTGGACTTTGTTATCAAATAGTGCTCCTGAAAGGGGACACTTTTGGACACGGGGATTCAGGCAAAGAGAGTAACAGGAGCTGAGGCCCACAGAAGGGATCACTGTGTGCCCTGGAAGTAGTGGGGTTTACTTCAGCTGAGGCCAGCTGGGAGGGAAGGAAAGTCAAGTAGGAAAGGTTTCTAGGCCCATGGGGCAGTACTGCACCTGGCTAATAAGAGGGCTGTTAGCCTCTGGGCAACTGGAGGGGATTCATCAAATTTGGTGGTCTTTGAATTCTGTTTGAAACCTTTTGGACCACCTCAGGGACTTCAAAGAGAAGTAGCATCGGAGTTAAGGTGGCTAGTTCAGACTAAGACCCAGGTGTGAGTTTAAGTACTGTTATTTGACCCAGACTTGTCAGGGCCTTCCTGGCCCCACCTGTAAAAGAGATAATAGCAGCTGTCGGGGAGAAAGGGGATGGAGCGTGCACAGGGGCTGTACGTGGCTAACAGTTTTGAAAAATAAACTTACGTGTTATAAAATGCATGTCATAAAATTTACCATCTCACTTCGATGTCCACAGTGTCTCTGATGTTAATGAATATCACATCACGGTAGGGCAGATCGCCAGAACATTTCAGCTTGCACATCTGAAACCCACCGAAGAACAGCTCCCCATTTCCCTTCCCCCAGACCCTGATAACCACCGTCCTACTTTCTGTCCATAAGATTTTGACTACTCTAGATACCAATAATGTGGTGTTTATCTTTTCCTATTGGCCGGTTCCAACATGTCTTCAAGGTTCATTCGCTTTACATGTCAGAATATCCCTCCCTCTGTAAGACTGATCCGTGTTCTGTCTACCCTGCATTCCATTTACCCATTCATCTGTTCAAAGGCATTTGAGTTGCCTCCAGCTCCTGGCTATGGTAAATACTGCTGTGGACATGGGTACAGTATCTATTTGACACCCTGCTTTCAGTTCCAGAAGTGGTATTGCTGGGTCATCTACTGTCATAATTTGAAGGTGGACTAAGAGGGCTCCCACTGTGTCTCCTCTTGCCCATCAGGGTAAGAGAAGACTCCAGGGCCCTAAAGAACAGTTTGAAAACTAGTAGGTCCCTAGGTGCGGCACACTTGTAATCTCAGCTACTCAGGAGGCTGTAAATTTAAGCCCAGCTTGAGCAACTTAGTGAGACCTTGTCTCAAAAAAAAAGTTGGGGAAGTAGCTTAGTGATAGAGGACCCCTGGATTCAATCCCCAGTGCTGAAGAAAAAAGAGAGAGAAAACTAGTGAATGAACTGAAACATTACCAAATTCTTCACTTCCCCCTTCCTTCCCAGGCAGATTTGCCTCTTGGATTCTTTTCCAGTTACCCCAAGTGGAAACCAGTGTTCATTCAACAAATGTTCATAAGTGCATCCTGTGCTGACGGGCAGGCAGAGACACTAACAATATGCATAAAGTATTAAATGGCTTAGTGTGTCAGACCATGATGGGTGCTGTGGACAGAGCAGAGCTGCAAAGGAGAGAGGACAGGAGACTGGACCTTTGGTGAGGTGTGTGATTTAAGCAAAGACAGGAAGGAAGTGTGGAGGTCTGTCACGTGGGCATGAGGGAGGAGCATTCCAGCAGGGGGAACAGCCAGTGAAAGGTCAGTGAACAGCAAGGATAGTGTGGCTGGAGCAGAATGAGTGAGAGGGAGAGAAGGGTAGAGAGGCCACAAGGCTCAGCTGGCACATGGCCCCATTGCCTTCGTAAGGGGCTTGGCAGGGTGAGAGGCAAGACCTAGGAGAGTTTAGTACAGAGACGGGCACAATCTGACTGTTTGAGGGGGCACTGTCTTGGCACAGCATGGTGACTGGTGAGGGGTGGAAGTGTAACGGCAGACTTACAGTCCACAGTGTGGCAGCTCTTAATGGTACAGCAAGATCAGGCCAAGAAGAATTGAGAATGCACCCCAAGCTTGGAGGCAAGTTTATTATGCCAGCAGACTGATTGGGGATTTCTCCGCAAAGCGATTAGCCTGAGCTGGCAGTGAACAGGGTTTGTATGGGTTAAGGGAAGCAGGGTGGGGATACAGAAGCAAGGCATTTATCATCAGTTCAAGGCATTTAGTAAGTTACATGTAGTTTACATAATTTGATAGTAAAGTACACTGGATACAGACACTTCCTGAGGACAAAGAACAGTGAAGGAGGACATGTGTTGGTTGTGGGAGGGGGTATGAGCTGGGGTGGCTCTTTGTCAGTCAGGTCAGCTAGCCTCAGGAAAAACCTTATTTTGCTCAGAAATTGTTTTCCGGCTCAGAAGCAGAAGGAAGCAGGGAACTGGTGAGGAGGCCCCTTGCTGTGACACTTGTGAGAGGCCAGTGGCTCATGCCAGGGTGCCAGTGGGAAGGAAAGGAGCAACAGTAAATGCAGACACACGTCATAGAGGCTGGGTGTCTACCTGATGGCAGCAGACTGTCACCCTACCCTGTCCTCCCTTCCTTCACACCCTGCAGCTGAAGTCAGGTGGCAACTTTTCTTCTGGGCCAACATCTCTTTCTCCTTCTGGTATGGAAGGTGACTGTCAAAACCCTCTGAGCTCTTTAGTGCTGGAACTGTTGTCATGGTGACCTCCTGAGATGCCTCATTTCCCTCTGGCTCCTGGTTTGACTTACAGATAGAGGTGTAGAATGAACAGGGTTCTCTCCTAAATACTCGGGGAGGGGGAGGTAGGCAGGAGAGATGGTAAACCAGAAGCATGTCGAAATTGTCTGTGTGTGTGTGTGTGTGTGTCTGTGTGTGTCTGTGTGTGTACCTTTCAACTGCAATCTTTAGTTCCTGGCCTTACGACAGCGCTGTAGCTCTATGTGTCGGAAAGCAGTTCTTTAGCCAAATGCTTTCCACCTTGGCTCAGAGCAATAGTCTTCAGCATTCCCTAGGCACTGTAAACTATTTCTCGCTTAATTATTTGATTGCAGTGCAGAATTGTGTGAAAATTGAGCTGTGGCCAGAAAGAGTCGAGAAACGGACCCTCACACACATACACACACACAAACACATTCCTATCGAATTTGACCTTCACCTTCTCTGACGGCTCCAAAGGGAGAAAAAGGCCACAGCTGGAAAAACAGAAGTTCTTTCTTGCATGTCATCTTCCAAAGGCCTGGCTTAGGCAGTTTTAAGGACAATTTAAAGGCTGTTCAGGATGATTCTGACCATACTTGATTTCCCTCTCTTTTTTGCTGGTGTTGGAATTTCACACTGCCCAAAAAGAAACACCACTCCACTGCTTGTGGTGTCAATCATTGAATCTTCCCTGAACACTCACAGAGGGACCCCTGTGACTAACAAAAGTGACTTGGTCAGCATTTCCTTTGGTGACAGATAGTGTAGCTGGTTAATCAGAAGTCATAATCATAGAGCAGCAGAGCGAGGTCCCATTCCATAATAATCCTGTGCATCCTGAGTGGGAGCTATGTGGTCCAGCTATGGGCATGGCTGTTCCCACTCTGTGTACATTGTTTCCCTGGCAGTCGGTCCTTTTCTGGGTCAAATGTGGGCCTTTCTTGGAATTCCGTGGCATCTTCACAGAGCCTTGGTGGAGACAAGATTCTTGTCAGACTCTCAGGATCTGAGAGCTACTCCTGCCCCTAGGAGCTGCTGGACCAGCCCTGAGCCCATGAGATTCCCTCAGGGCACAGAGGTGCTGCTAGCTGACCAGCAGGGTGCTTTTCTTGTCATAGGCACCCAGCAATCTCTCTTGTAATCAATGTGGCTTCTCAGACACACTTGAGAATCTCAGTTTAACTTTGGGCTGCATCCTGACCCTGAATCACATCAAGGGGTAGTGGTATACACAATTCAGGTGACACATGCCCTACCCCACAGCTGCACCACACTGCCTTAGCTAGAGGTGGTCCTCAGCTCATGCAATTGGACAATCCTTGGAGTTGGAACGATTGACTGTCCCCCATTATGGGTGGCTGGGAACTGCCTCTGTCCCCCCAACCCCTGTTGATCTTGTTATTAACAAGGCCGAATGACTGGGACTTAACCATGACCTCAGCCCCCTGGCTTGGCTGGGCCATCTGGGCCAGAGCTTTCTGAGATTAAGCATTCCCCTTCTAGGAATAAGAGGCAGAATTCGTCTTGTTTTGTTTTGCGTTCCTGGGGATTGAACCCAGGGCCTTTGAACTGAGCTATATCTCCAGCCATTTTTTATGGTTGTTTTAAATTTTGTTTGGTTTGGATTTAAATTTTTTTGTTTGCTTGTTTGTTTTTGGTTTTTTGTTTGTTTATTGTGGTACAAGGGATCAAACCCAGGGCTTCATGCATGCCAAACAAGTGCTCTACCCCTGAGCCATATCCCTATTTTTTATTTTTGAGACAGGATCTCACTAAGTTATTGAGTTTCCCAGGCTGGGCTCGAACTTATGATCCTTCTGCTTCAGCTTCGCAGACTGCTGGGACTGCAATCATGTGCCATGTTGCCTAGCTTCAGAATTGTTACTAATTCAAGTTATTGTTTTAAATTATAAAACCATCAATAAGCTCATGACAGAAAATGCTAAAAATACAGAAAAGTAGAACAAAAACCAATCATCTCTAGTCCCTCAGCCCCACCACCAAGGGAGAGTGATCATGAACATTTTGATATATTTCCTTCTGCTCTTTTTGCTCTGCAAAATATTTTTTTAAAAAAACATAACTGGAATTACAGTATGTTGTACATGCAGTGGTATGCTGGCAAACTACCTTTCTAGTTAAAAAAAAAAATCCTTTATTTGTAGCATTTGCCAATTCCTATGGTACAAATATCCCATGTTCCTTCTCTGTCAGTTTCCCATCATTGGCCGGGCTGAACACAGCTGGGAAGAAGGGATGTACAGGATTGATTCTCAGAAGCTGGAATGGACCAGCTCCTTCACACCATGTTGTCATTTAAAATGATATCTATTTTTTCTGATCTTAAAATCAATACTTACTCATTATTGAGAATTTATAAAACACAAACATATACAGAAAACAATTAACATCATCCAGAATTTGACATCCCTCCCCCTCAGAGTCAGCCACTGTCAGCACCCTGGTGTATGTGCCCTCGTTCCCTCTCCATGGATAGAAACCTCTACAGAGAACTTTTCAGAGAGTCTAAAGGCAACACGTTTATGGCAGAAAATGTGGGAAATACAGAAATGTCTCTGCAGTCTCACCTCTCAGAGATCATCCTGCAGGACATTCTTCCAGTCATCTTTCTTGTCTGCAGCTTTGTAACATGATTGGCCTCACGGTTCAGATATCCTCATTTGTAGCCAAAGTACATTCTCTTATCCCAGAGGAAGGTGACATCCAGTGATAGGACATTGATCGTGATGTATTGGAAACCCTACTGAGGCTTAAAGAGGCAAAAAATAATATTCTTGTTTCTTGGCATTTAAAAACTGGAAATAGGATGAAGCTCAAAGTATTTGAAGTCTTGGGGGACCCTAGTTTGGGGCCCTGGGCCATCCTTGGGCAATCCTAGATACTAGGCCCCTCATCCATTTCTTTGCCACATGTGAGGCTGCTGTGGACTGTAAGAACAAGTGCCTGTAGGAAAGGGAGAGCCAGGGGAATGCAGCTCTTGTATAAGCCTAAAAACTAGTTCATTCATTCCTTCATGTAGCACCCATCTGGCAGGCATCTGGTTGGGCACTGCAGTAAGTTGTGGAGGAGATACATGTCTGACCTCTGGTCCCCAGACTAAACCAGCAGCAAGATGCAGTAATCGCAGCTCAGGGTACAAAGAGTTGCATCCAGAATATTAAATGAGCCATTCCATGCCAAGTCCCAGAGCTCTGTTTTGCATGTGGGTAAAGGGGGGCTGCTGTCACCTGCAGGGACAAAGGCCCAGGGAGTGAAAGTGCTCGCCAGGCTCCCCTGAGCTAACTGGCTCGCTCTCTCTCCTATAGGAATCCTACACAGTGCCACCCTATGGACCTAAGGGCTGGTTTTTCTGGTTTGCTCCCCCAGAGTGATTTACGTAATTCTTTAAAGAATCCTCCAGAAGCCGGAAGCCCAGTAACCTGTTTTCAGACTTAGAGAGAGGGAAGCACCACGGTTGTTTCTCCAAATCTGGGTAAGTGTCTTTTAAAGTTTCTTTTTCTTCAGACCCCTGATCATTATTTTTTAAAGTGCCTTCTTTTGAAGCTTATGCATCTATTGTCTGTTTCTCTCACTAGGCATTTAGTTCCTGTGAGGAGTCTCAGTGTCTGCCTGTCTTCTCATACTCACTGCTGTGCCCCCAACATGTAGTGTGGTGCCTGGCACCTTGTGGCTACCAGTACATTGCTTATTAAATTAATAAATGGCTAATTTGTATGGTAATGAATATTTATTTACAGTTTACTGAGGGCTTTGAAATTCTACACAGATATCCTACTTTTTAAAACTTTCTTTTAAAATAATTTAGATGCACAGGAAGTTATAGAAATAGTACAAAGCAGTCCCTTATACTCTCCCTCCACTCCCTGCACGGCCATCACCTTTACAGGTAAGAAACACCTTGCCTGGACTACTCAGCCCTTCATGGGTAACCCTTAGTGACTTCCCCCCAACCCATGTCTTCCCCGCCCCACCCCGTACCTACCCACTGTCCATGCCCAACTACACCTAACATCTTTCTGGTTCTTCAAAGCATTGTCTCTTTTTGCCTCTGTGTCTCGACGTGTGCTGTCCCTCCACCTGTGCCTGTCTGATCCCTGGCCATCTCCAATGAGCCAATTTGGGGTTCTATTTCCCCTCTTAGAGCCCCTCCATCACAGCTTTCATCCTCACTCATTTGTCATTTGTTTGCTTGCCTATTTCTCCCCTATCCCACTGCTTCCTCTGCTTCTCCCTGCCTCCATCCATGCATCCATCCACCCATTCATCCATCCATCCATCCAAGGCCTCTGCTGCAGTGACACCTTTCAGCTGCAGACAACAGTCACCCTCCCTCCCCTTCATTCCGTTCCGTTCCATATCCCCTCACCCTGCCCGATTGCTCTCCCCCCTCACCACTTCCTGGCTAAATGTTTCCTGGTTTATTTAGTGGGCTGTAAAGAGCTTGGGTCCTGTAGCTAGCTAGGCATGAGTGTGAATCTTGGTTCTACACTTACTGATTCCGTGACCTTGACTGAGTTACTGAGATTGTTTCATGTTATGTATCAGTGTATTGTTGCCTGTCTCCCACTGGGACAGAGGCCCCTGGAAAGCAGGGAGCTTGTCACTGTTGTCCCCTGCTCTGCCCCATCCTCCAGCAAATATCTGCCAATTGCCTACGAAGGAAGTGAGAATAGCCAGGGGCTGCTCCAGAGTTTACATCCTGTTTGAATACACAGATAAACCAGTAAGTAAAACATCATTTTAGCTAGGAAGAAGCATAAAAATAAAACAGGGTGCTGGGATAGAGGAGCAGTGTGGTCAGGGAAAGATCCTCAGAGGAGGTGACTTTCAGGCCAGAGTTGAAGTCAGGGGAAAGGTTTTCCAGGCCTGGGGGGTGGCAGGGGGAAAGGCTCAGAGGAGAGGACTAGCCTGCATATTTCAGAGCAGAAGCAGCTGGTGTGGCTGAGGTGTAGTGAGTGAGACAGGCATGGAGCATGGGCTGGAGTTCAGAGGCAAGCAGGGGCTGGATGGAGCAGGACTTTGTAGACCATCATCAGGTATTTGGATCCATTGTGGTGGGAAGGCAGGCAAGTGACCAGGTTGGTATATGTGACAAAAAGACCACTCTATGCTGCTACATAGAGAATTCATAATCAGGGATTAAGGGTATGTTGTCTGGAATGAAGGAAGGAAGGAAGGAAGGAAGGAAGGAAGAAAGGAAGGAAGGAATTTGGCCTACGCTGAGCTTTTTGTTTGCTGAGCACATCCTGTCCTCCCCTGTGGTTAGAAGCAACCCAGCTCCTGCTCTTCTGATGAGGAGGCTGCTTATTCTTGAACTAAAAGCTGACCTGCAGCTCCCCAGATACCAACCCTAAATTACCATCTCCAGCTCCTCTGGGTAATAGGCACAATTACCGCAGCCTCCAAAGGGCACATGGAGTTGATTAAATGGAGTGGAAATTGCTAAGCTAGCTGGCCTGAGAACATGACCTGGGCTGTCCCCCTTTCTCCATCACGAGAGTGTGAGCTGACCCTTTGAGCCCGGAAATCTGCTCTAAGTCTTGAATTTGAGTTCCTAGAGCAAACATTAGGGGTCCATCTAGCTGGGTGACTTTGGAGTCATCCAGTCATAATCTCTCTGGGCCTCAGTTTCTCCACCTGAAACAAGGGAAGGTTGATCCCTCGGCTGGTGTAGAGGGAAGAACTCAAGGTTTGAAGCCAAAAGTCTGATTTGGAACTCATCAGTTACTGTGTAACTTTGGGAAAATCGCTCAGCCAGGCTGAGCCTGTTCCTCGTGTAGGAAGAAATTATCATGGTTCATGCCCTACTTAACCTTACATAGTAGTTATAAGAGTTAAGTGGTTGACTGCCTCTAAAGTGCAAGGTCCTGAGTTCGATCTCTGGTACCAAAAACAAAAACAAAAAGAGTTAAGTGCTTGGGAAAGTGTTTTGCGCACTATCAATTGCTATAAAAAAATTGATATGTTGCTTTTAACTACCTCAGATTAAATTGAAAATTAATGAAAAATTAGTTGTAAACAAACTTAAATAATTCCTCTATACAACTAATATTTTGAGAAAAAAATACTGTATTGCTCAGCTGGATGAGAATAAATGTATGGATCAAGAGCAGCATGGAGTGTGGTTATTGGAATAGAAAGCTCTTAGCAATGTGACGATTATTTAAAATACAGCTGAGAACTCTGGCTTTGGGCTGTCAGTCTGCCACTTCCAGGTGGTGACCCGGACGTTACTTCTCTGAGCCGGCTTCTCCTTTGCCAGCTGCACACTGTGGTCCTCCCTGCCTCACAGAGTCGTCTGAGACAATGCGTGTTAAAATCCCAGCCCCAGTGCCTGGCACCCAGTGACATCTCTGTCTTACTGGCTTTTATTATTATGGATTACACCCCATGCTGTGTGCCAGGTAGCAGCTAAACACTTCATTTATTTGTTGATTATTTGATGCATTTATTTCTTTAACAAACATACTGCATACACCCTGTGCCTGGCCCTGCTCAAGCACTTTACTGATGCAATCTGCTGTGGGCTGTTCCGTGGCTCTTCCAGGCAGTGTGTGCATGTACGGTCCCATGTGTAGGTGAAGGCAGCTACTAGATGCAGAGAGGCTGATTGCCCAGAGCCTCATCTGTTAGGTGGAAGTGCCCGGATTCACACCAAGGACGCTCTGGGCCTCACCTTGCATTTGTGTCTTTGACACCCTATCGTTAAGGCTGGATTTGTCCTGTGGCCAATGCCAGGGCCCTCCTGCCCCATGGATGTCTGGCTTGGCTTGGTTTGCAGCCTCTCTCCTCCTCCCTATGTCCTTGGGAAGGAAGGAAAGAATGGACGGAGGAGAAAAGGAAGGCCTTCCCTCTTTCTCCCTTCATTCATTGAGGTGTAACATACACAAAGAGCACAGATCTTAAGTATACAGCTTGTTAAATATATTTGCACTCACATAAGCACCACCCAGGTCAGGTGAGAGAAAATGTGCCTCACCCAGAAGCCTCAGCATGCCCCTTCTGAGCCAGTGCTTCACTACAAGTCACCTTTTCTGATTTCTGTCACCATGCATTGGTTTTCCATGCTCTTCCACTTCATACAAACAGAATCCTGCAGTTCTGCTTATTGTGTTGTCTGTAAGGTGCATTCATGTTCCTGTGGTTACCTAGAACTCATTCCTTGTCATCACTTCATAATATTCTATGGTATGAATATAATATAGTTTGTTCAGTCTACTATGGGTGGACCACGGGGGTTGTTTCCAGTTTGGGACTACAGTCTCCCCTTAGTATCCAGAGATTGGTGATAGGCCTACTCACAGATACCCAAATCCACCAATGCTCAAGTCTCTTATGTAAAATGGCATAGTGTTTACACATAGTATTACATATATCCAGAGTGTCCTTTAAATCCTCTCTAGATTACTTCTAATATCTGTACTAGTAACTTTCTTATCACTAGGACAAAATACCCAACACCCACAACTTAAAGGAGGAGAAGTTTAATTTGGCTCACGGTTTGGGGGCTTTGGTCCATGGTTGGCTGAAACAACATGGTAGAAGGGTGTGGCAGAAGAAACCTCAACCCGTGGCAGTCAGAGAACAGAGAGAGAGAGGAGGAGAAGCCTAGGCCAAGAGCACAGCCTTCCAGGTCACACCCTGAGTGACACAGTCTCCTCAGACTAGGGCCCACCTCTCAACACTGGCGGCCTCTGGAGGACATTTTAGATCTAAACCATAGCAATACCTGAGCGCTCTGTAAGTATATAGTTATAGGTTAGGGAATAATGATGAGAAGAAAATCTGTATGCGTTGAGTACAGACCCACCTATTTTTCCTGAATATTTTTGATCTGCAGTGGGTTGAATATGCAGATGAAGAGTCAGAAGATGTGGAGAGCTGACCGTTTTGCGGATGGAGCTGCTGTGAGCATTCATGTATGGGTGTCTCAGTGGACATGGCCCTTGCTTCTCAGTAGTAGAATTCCTGGGGTAAAGGGAAGACATATATTGAACGTTATGGATGTTGTTGAGCCATTATTTTTATTTTTTTTATTTTATTGGTACATTTTAGATATATATAATGATAACATTCATCATAGGGAATTTGTACTTGTACATGATATATCTTGCTTCTTTTTTTCCCATTCCCCTTCCCTCCCTTCAGTCCCTCTTCTTTCTCTCCTTATTTACATTCTTTCTCTCCTTGATCCCATTTTTTCCTTCTATTCTCTTTTTTTCTTGTCTTTTCAACCCCCTCCTTGTTTCCCTTCCCATTTGAACATTTTCTTTCCATTTCCTAGTATCTATTATATATTTTGGTCCTTATTTACACTTTTGGTTTCTCACACCAGAGAAACAATGTGGTATTTAAACATATATGTCCAATTTATCTCACTTAAGAGTATGGTCTCAAGGTGCATCCGTTTAGCTAGAAATGTCTCAAGCTCATCTTTCTTTATGGCAGAGTAGTACTCCATTGTATATTTTAAAAATTTTTATCCATTCATCGACTGATGGGCATTTAGGCTGTTTCCAAGATTTAGCTATTACAGATCGTGCCAAGTCAAGCCATTTTTTGAATGGTTATACAAATTTTCCTTCCCACCAACAGAAGTGGAAGTGCTCTTGGCTTCTTTTCACCAGCACTTGTTGTTGTCAGTCTTTTTAGTTGTAGCCTTTCCAGTGGGTGAGTGGTGGTACTTCTTTGGGCCTTTAATGTCCATTGCTCTCATGATTAATGGTGTTGGACCCCACTTTGTGGACTTACTGGCCATTGAGATGTCTTTTATGAAGTATCCATTTGAATCTTTTGTTCATTTTTTATTTGAGTCTTTTTTATTTCATAATGATTATAGGAGTTGTGTAGATGCAAATCCTTTGTTGAAACATGTATTGAAAACCCAGTCTGGGGTTTGTGTTTTCACTCTCTTAAAGGTACTGAATAGAAGTTCTTTGTGGTAACAAAGCCTTTCTTTTATGGCCTATGAGTTTTGTGTCCCCGTCCAGTATCCTTTGCTCCCCAAAGCATTCCTCATTGGGATTCTCTCCTGCAGGGCTGGGAATGGCCACATGGAGCAGGCCAAGCGAGAGGCAGCCTCAGGGGCTTGAGCCAGCTGCAGAGGGAGAACCCCATGTGTCCCTGGGCCGGGAGATGACAGAGGCCAACCGCTTTGCCTATGCTGCCCTCTGTGGCATCTCTCTGTCCCAGCTGTTTCCAGAACCTGACCAGAGGTGAGTTCTTCTGTCCTATGGAGGGACAGTCATGCTTCTTCAGGGTGAGGATTTTTTTTTCAGTAGTAAGAATGAACCCAGGGCCTTCACACTTAGCCACATCCCAACACTTTCTTTGTTTTTTATTTTGAGACAGAGTCCCAGTAAGTTGGCCAGGCTGGTGGGCTCAAATTCACAATCCTGCCTCAGGCTCCCAGAGTGCTAGGATGACAGATGTGTACCACCACACCCATCCAGGGGAGTAGTTATTGACAGCCAAGCTGCCTGCCAGGCCCTCAGGCACTATAGAGTCATGTCCTTGCCTATAAGGGACTCAATGTGGTTGGGGGATAAGACATCCCTTCCTTCAGTTATTCAGTCATTTATACCGTTGCCAAGCATCTTTTGAGCACCTCCTGTGTGCTGGGCATGATTTGCAGTACATGGAGGCATATGTAAGTGAGTCAAATAAGATATCCTTCCTCCTTCAAGTAAGACACAGTCTTTTAGGGGATGAGAGATTTATTCATTCATGAAACATGCATTGTTGAGCACCTACTATGTGTTGGGTGCAGTGCACAGCCCTGTGAGAAAAGAAAGAAGAACAAGGCCTGACTTCTACCCTGCAGGTGCTTATGTCTAGGTGGGGCACCCACCCGGCTGATTGTAGCAGTGGCAGACAGAGACACCTAAGGGCTGTGCTGGGATTAGATATGGCATTGGAAAAAAGGATGGCAGGTTTAATGGTGATGTTATATTTTGCATCTGTCATTGCTGGTATCTGCTGTGAGTGTCCTGGAATCTTATATTTAGAGTCAGAACAACAGAACTGTTAACAGCATGCACTTCTGCCTTCAAAGCCTTCAGGATTTCCGGGGCCATGATGAGAGGTGGAGAGAGGTGCAGAAGGGACAGTGTTTCCTTGGGAAGAATGGGGTTGACTTGGGAACTGGTTGGATATTGGGGATGAGGCTGAAGCAGGAGCTATCTGCAGCAGCCCCCAAGCCTCGGGCAGGGAGGAGAGCACAGGAGGCCAGGATTGGTATGACTAGGACAGTGAGCAGCAGCTTGGGGATAGGTGATAATGGGACTTTCTTACATCTGACTCCCACACACACACACTCAGTTGCCTCCCCTCATGCCTGGGATTTGGGGGCTTTTAGGTTTTCATCTTCATCTCACCACTGGACTGATCACTGAGCATATTCCTCATGGTGGGCGTGTCCTTCCAGAACGCCTTTCCTAACCTGTCCCTGGATCGGGCTGTTTCTCCCCTTCTGCTCATTCTCATGCCATATCTGGGAAGCCTCATCTTTCTGGAAACTCCCCCTACCCTGATAAGCCTACCAAATAAACCCCCACCCACTAAACTGGCACCTAGCCAGGAAGAACTGTGTGTTCTTTCTCTCTGTAAACAAATATTTGTGAGTGAGAACTGAGCCAGGCCCAGCCTGGGCACCACCTAGGAGGGCACTGGGAAAACTGAGCTACTGTCCCCTGTCCTCTCTCCCAGCCCATGTCCAAGCATGACTCTGAGCGCAGGCAGCTGCTGGCCACTCTAAGCATTTGCCTCAGGGGGCTTCCTCCTGTGTGTTCTGAGACAGTACATTTTTTAAAAACTTCCATCTTTTTAAAGGCCAGAGAGGCTGTTGGTTTTGGTTATCTGTAGAAAATGCTCTTGGCAGTTTCTGCCCACACAGGGCTTAAAAGTAAACCTCGAAATATTTATTTCTTATCTATATTGTAAGCCTCACAGATTAATTGTTCCTTACAGTTAATTCTATTTATGGACTGGGATGTTGTCCAGTGGTACAGTTTTAGCATGCACGAGGACCTGAGTTTTAACCCCAGCACTGCAAAAAAGAAAAAAAAATTATTAAATGATTAATTCAAAATAAGAAATTGATAGGGTAGAGCAGAGGTCAACAAACTCCTTCTGCCAAGGGTCTGGTAGTTTAGGCTCATGGACTGAGTGGTCTGTGTCACTCACCTTGCTATTGTAGCCTAGAAGCAGCCATAGGCAGTATAGGAAGCAGTGAGTGTGGTACCAATAAAACTTTATTAGTAAAAACAGGCCATGGGTCAGATTTGCCCCCACAGGCTATAGTTTGGTGGGAAAAGAAAGTGAAGTCCACATCACCTAAAATTGTTTGTATTTCATGCACCACAGTCACCGACTTTTATGTGGGTGCCACCATTTACCTCCATAACCGCAGTTCACATAAACCCCTTGGCTCTGGAGAGCCCAAGCTTGCAGAGCCCAAGGACCTAAGCCAGACCTGTCTTTCAGCTCCTTCTGCACAGAGTTCATGGCAGGCCTGGTGAAGTGGCTGGAGTTATCCGAAGCCGTCCTACCAACCATGACTGCTTTTGCCAGTGGCCTGGGAGGTGAAGAAACAGACACGTTTGCTCAGATTTTATTGAAGGACCCCATCCTGAAGGTTGACCCATCACTGATCACTCAGGTACACCTCGCAGCTGGGTGATGGCTGCCAGGGACAGTGGAGCAAGTCATTTCCTTTCCAGCTCTGTCTAAGAATACCATCTAGTAGGGTGGATATTCCATCCTAATATATGATGCTAATGATCATCGCTGACGTTGACTATTTACTATCAGTGTAATGCCCTTATGGCACTTATGTGCTAGTATCTTTACAAAAATTAACTCATTTAATTCTCAACTTCCTAGGTAGGCAATACAGGTTGAGTAATTCTTCCAAAATGCTTGAGACTAGAAGTGTTTCAGATTTGGGGGCAGGGGTTGGGAATGTTTGCATATACTAATGAGATGTAATGATGACGGAACCCATGTCTAGACAATCAGAATCAGCAAAAAAATATTTTTTAAGTGCTAGGGATGGAAACCTGAGTCTCAAGCATACTGGTCAAATGCTTTAGATATGAGACCCAAGTCTAAACATTAAATTCATTTATATTTCTTATATACCATATACACATAGCCCAAAGGCAATTTTGTACGGCATTTTTAATAACTGGATGCATGAAACAGAATTTCATGGTTTGGAATGTTGTGGCATCAGATTGATGCTCAAAAAGTTTCAGATTTGGGAGCATTTGGATTTTGGATTTTTTGTTTCTTTTCTTTTTTTTTTTTTTTTTTTTTGTACCGAGGGATCGAACTTGGGACCTTGCGCTTGCAAGGCAGGCAGTGGAACCACTGAGCTAAATCTCCGGCCCTGGATTTTAGATTATTTGGATTAGAGATTCTCAACCTGTATGATTGTTCTCATTTTATAGTTGAGAAAAGTGAAGCACAGAGAGGTTAAATAACTTGCCCAAGCTCCCACCACTTAGAAGAGGTCAAGCCAGGATTTGAACAGTGGTGGTCTGACTCCAGAACCCGGTTCCACTCAGCTGTGGTGCCTCTTTCTGAAGCAGCAGGTTTGCTCTATGGCCTCTATGGGCCTGGGCCCGTCGTGTACCTGCTCTGTGTGCAGCTGAAGCAGGCAGACGCTTGTGATATGCACTGTTGGGGAGCTAAGTGCAAAGGGAGAAAGCAGCCCCTTCCACTCCTTGCCTCCTGCACCTGAAGTTCCCACCTTTGTTTCTTTATTTGCGTGTTTATTGTCTGAAGCACCGTTTGCAAAAGAGCAGAGGGATTTTGTCTGTCTTGATCACCACATGGGAGGAGTTGATAAACACCTGTCTCCTGAGCTGTCTGATTGCCAGTGTGCTTGCCACTGATTCCCATTTCCTTTCTCCTCAGGACCTTCTGAGCTTCTCCCTCAATGAAGGTAAGTTGATTTGCTAAGCTCTGTAAAGTGTGGGTGCCAGGGAAGCCAGTAAGAGGTGCTACCACTTGTGTGTGACCCAGACTGCCGTTGCATTTTTGGCAAGGGAAGGGCAGGGAACCCAGTGTCACTTCCGAGCCGGTGAATACAGTACTTTGTGCTGAGCACTGCGTGGTGCTGCTTGGCGCCCATTCCATGTCTTCCTCGCCAGCCCTGTGGTTTTCCTTCCTAAGCAGCTCTCAAGTCTGCTTCCTTCCCCATCACCCACCACCCTCGTCTCAGCCACTGCTACGCCCTCCTGAGTGACAGCTGAGTCTCCTCACCGGTCACCCTGAATCCTGAATGACCTTTCCCGAGGCTCTGTGACCAGGGACAAGAGCCAGTTGTTCAATTTTCTAAAAAAAAATTTTTTTTTTACTTATATAATATGATCTTTGGTTCCAAGAACACAGTCAAAGCCAGATATGATGGCACAGGCCTGTAACCCCAGCACTGTGGGAAGTTGAGGCAGGAACATCACAAGTTAGAGCCCATTTTTGATAGTCTACCAACTTAGCAAGACCTGTCTCAAAAAGGAGCCAAGCGCTGGGGATGTAGTTCAGTGCGAAGGCCCTGGGTTCAATCCCCAGTACGAGGAGGAGGAGGAGGAGGAGGGGGAGGGGGAGGGGGAGGAGGGGGAGGAAAGAAAAAGAACTCAATCAAGGGCCTTTAAAGAGACGCTGAGTGTCATAAATGAGCCAGTTGCCCAAGTTCTTTCCCACAAGATCCATGAGGGCAGAGCCCTTGTGGGGCTTCTGTACTATTGTTTCCCAGCACCTATACCACTAAGGGATACATGGTCAACGTTTAGTATTTGTGGGAGGGAAGAAAGAAGGGGAGAGGGAGGATGGATGGGTGGATGGATGGAAGGAGTAAGGACAGGGAGGAGGGACAGAAGAATGGATGAGCGGTCTTTCATTAGAGAACAAGCTTAGATCAGGAGCAGGATGGTTTGTCCTAGAGTCCTCCTTCCCTTGGAGACTGGCGGAGTGGGGCATGTGCAGGGAGCAGCCTTACCTTGCTGATGGATTCCTCCCTGGGTGTGAGACTGAGTGAGTGGTCATGGAATCTGGCCAGAAAATCAACACAAAAAGCTGCATTTCTCAGAACTCCTGGAACACTGACTTTTACAGACAGTGTGGGGATCTTAGCCACAGAATGATTCCATATTGGCAGCTGGGTGGGAATTTTGGAGAGTGCTAATCATTTTCTTCTCATCAAGTCACAACCTGTGAAGCTCTTTGCCCACAGAACTGTAAAAACGTGTCTTCTGTGCTGAAGGTAGGCGGTGCTGATAACTCAAAGTAAGGCTTACTCAACTCGGCTCTGATGATGTCTGGGCTCAAAACTCCTTGGTGGTGGGGCTGCCCTGGGCACTGTAGTATGTTTGGCAGCCTCTCTGGCCTCTAACTATTAGATGCCAGCATCACTTTCTGGTTGCGACAACCAAAAATGTCTCTAGACATTGCCAGATGCTCTCTAGGGAATGAAACATCTCAGGCAGGGCCAGATCATTTGCATTCAGTGATCTTTATAATCACCCTGGCTGCTTATTGGGCCCCTTAGATTGTGGATTATTACACAGCATATAACTCTCAAATCAGCTACTGGAATATGTACTATTATCTCCCCTGGGAGGAAATTAAGGCGCAGGAAGGTTAAGCAAGTAACCCAGGATTCCATTTCACAGTTTCAAAGTCCCATTTAAGGTGAGATGAATCTCACTGTGGACTCTGTATTGGCGCTGGGGAAACTTAAATGGAACCCTAATTTGTGCCCTCTGTACTCTGGGCCTGTAATCTGTGCTCTGAGGATTAACACTAAGCCAGGGCCTGTTCAGGCACACGAATGTGAGTCACAGCCACCTCTGCCACAAAGTGATGTTCTGCAGAAAGTCTGTTCCTGGAAGGCAAACCCTTCCTCCCTGATGAATCAGATAGCTGTGAGATGTAACCCTTGGCTGTGGTGAACTACAGGTACAGTGACCCAGTTGGTGAGTTCTCAGTAAGCATCCTGCAATTGCCTAGTTCATCCATGTAGCAAATAAGGATTGAACCCCCAAGCTGGGCATGGTGACACATGTCTGTAATCCCAGCAGTCTGGGAGGCTGAGGCAGGAGGATCACAAGTTCAAGCCCAGCCTGAGCAACTTAGAGATTTAGCAAAACCCTGTCTCAAAATTTTAAAAAAAGAAAAAAAAATGTTTAAGGCGCTGGGGATGTAGCCTTCAGTGTGAAGGCCCTGGTTTCGATCTCCAGAACAGAGAAGGAAAGAAAAGAAAAACTAACCACCCACTGTTATACTTGGCCCCGTGTGAGGCACAGGGAATAATTCTTATAGTGGACACTCATTGAGTGCCTACTATGCATGTGGCTTGGAGCTGTGTCTTCCTCACAGGTAGATGCTGTCCCTGTTTCACAAGCGGAAACAGGTATAGAGAATAAAATAACCTGCCCAAGGCCATCAAGCTGGAAAGTGAGAGGCAGATTCTGACCCAGGCAGCACGGCTCCATAATCCATTTCTTAGTGCTGCCCTACCCCTCACGTGCAGGCACCTGGACCTCGTCCCTACCAATAAATGACTTCAAGCGGGTGCCACAGGGCTGAGTGCATGCCTCAAGCATACAGCAGTACGGCAGGAGCCCCAGGCATAGCACAGCCCACTGATCTGGCAAAGGAGAAGGCAGAGCTAGAGGAGCTCAGAGGGGGCCCCTCATCTCTGCCCTCTGTGCCCACCACCAGGGGTCCTGAAGTAAGCTTCTTACCACCTTGACACCTTACCTGTCCTAAACCACAAGAAGAATAGGCAGTAGTGAAACTACTTCCCAGAGAGAGCCTGTATAGCCAGGCTCTGTCTCCCAAAGCAGAGACCCTGGGCCCACAGAGAACTTGCACCCAGCGCCCAGCGGCATACAGGCCACCATCAACATGAAGGGCGCCATGGGGCTGGAATCCAGGGTGGTTTCTCCTTCATATAAAAAAATGTTATCTAGGGTAAAATAGAGATAATGAATCAATATTCTAGAAGAAAGGCATCAGTGAGGGAGTTGGGGAATGGAGGGATGGTGATGCAGTGGGCGGGACCAGCAGCTGTGCAAGTGTGAGTGTGGCCTGCGAGGTGTGTCCTCGGACCCCGAGAGAGGAAGAACAGAGAGCCGGACACTGACCGGAAGTGGGACGCCTACACCCTCCCCAGCAGCCCCAGCTCTGAGGGTGGCAGTGGTGCTGTGAATCCCTCTTCGTGGCTCACTGGTCTGCTTTTCTGATGCAGGGGCTTCTGTTATCTGTAGGTCCCTGGGTGTTCTAGGCTCTGTAAATCTAAGGAAAAGTTACTGATTAGAAAGTCTTATGACTCAGGTCTTTTGAGTTCCTTTTCTCAGGAATAGTTATCTCTGCAGTTAATTATTAAGATCCATACAGATTCCTTTCTCCTAGAGAACAGAGGAAGATATCAGAAGGCTACCTTTCCCTGAGGACAGAGGGAGTTCAGAAAAGCAACATTCTGGGAAGTGAGTGGGTGGCTGAGGACTGGAAGAGCTAACATTCTTCCCTGAGAGCAGTTCAGTCAGAGGCGTCATCTGCAGCAAAGCTAGGAGGAGACTAATGCATTGCCCAGCTGTGTGACTTCCAATTATGATTTTTAAAAGACAACTGAGAACAAGTGGAGCTATGGATTTATTTAGGTTTTCCTTTAGTGATAGCTTCTTAGCCTGGCTTATAAGAAAGGATGGTGGAAAAATGACAATTCGCCATGCAGAGTGACACTGGCTGGCTGCCCTTGATGGTGCTCTGTGTCCTGGCACTGGCTGGATTCACCATGTGCATCCTCTCATTGCTTCTCAGCAAAGCCAGATTTAAAATGTGCTTTGAGGCTGGGTGTGCAGCTCAGTGGCAGAGCACTTGCCTAGCATGCATGAGGCCCTGGGTTCCATCCCTGGCACCAAAAAAAGAAAAGTATTCTTGTTCCCATTTCACAGATAAAGAAACAGGCTCAGAGATAAAGAGACTTATCTAGAACCATTCAGCCAATGGGTAATCAAATGAAAATTCCAAGGTTAAAGTTTCTACCTCTTGGTTCCTTTTCTCCAGTTTGGAAGGAAGCCCCAAAGGGAAGAAATTGTCCTTGACCTCTTCCCAAAGGTCTGGGCTTTCCCTGTGTGTCTCAGCTAGTGCAAGGTCAACCCCAAACCCACCATCCCAGTTCTTGAGCCGAGACAGAGCCCTTACTAACAATAGAGACTGCCTGGAGCCTCACGGCAGGAGGCTGCACTGTCTCACCCCAGGAAATGGGGACAGGGTCAGGGTGTAATCCTGGGGGTGTGACGGACACCAAGCTCCAGGCGTGCCGTCCATCCCTCTGTGCGTAAGGCAGTGACAGATGAGGTACCTGGTGCAGTAGCTTCTGTATTGAGAGGTGCGGTGGGGGAAGGGCTAGAATGTGGATTTTGGTGCTGCTCTAGAAATGCCTCTCGAGCTTCCCAAACCAGGGGATGCCTTCTGAGTGTGCAGTTGTGTCTGGAGCCTGCACAAGAGCTGTCCAGTGGTTCTGGGTGGCTGGCGCACTCCTGCCCCCTAGCGGCAGAGTCAAGTCACCCTGGTGATGTGTCACTTTTAGGTGTGCCAGTTGCCATGGACCAGGGCTATTTCTCAAGGTCTTTTTTTTTTCTTTTGGTACCAGGGATCGAACTCAGGTCCTGTGCCTGCAAGGCAGGCAGCAGAACCACTGAGCTAAATCCCCGGCCCAACCAGGGTTATCTCTAGGATTGTGTATATTCCCCATCTGCACAGAAGCTAGGATTCATGGCTGGTTGTGTGGGATTGACCTAGAACCCCAAATACACAAATATAGGCATCAGCCTTTAAAAGACAGGCACAGTGGAATGAGTGGAAATGTTGACACCATATAATCCTGCATTACAACCGGCTTCTCCAGTCTCAGCTGTGTGACTTTGAGAAAGATTCTCT